GGAAGACTTGGGCAAATAGACTTACATGGTATATTTAAACTTAATGGTAAGATTTGAACTATTTCCTTATAGGCTTAACATGATTTAGGATATTATGAATCACAGAGACAGAAAACTTAATAATTTGGCTCAGTAGTTGTATTATTCCATATAATAAGGACAAATACGAGTTGAGCAAATTCATGTTATCCTTAAATGGAGCATCAAAATGGATAATATTTCAGTAATATTTGCGGTGCTTCGATGGTTCCGCGGTAGGATGCTCACAAACCAGGTACATGGTTTAGGGTTCGATACCCGTACAGCCCTCACCTTTATCTCGCCTAGCTGGTTATTAGGCTGACAACGAAGGGAGGCCGAGCGTGAAGCTGGCAACCCAACCCCACTGGAATTTCAAAGCTCCAGAGTGAAGCCCTGTGTTTCACCGGGAACGCAAATTAATAAAAAAATATTCACATAGATATATGGTCAGTAAGTTTCACTTGTAACATTTGAAGGCAATAAAAATAAATGAAACGGCGCAAGCTATATGAAATAAAGACCTTACAGATATGAATAAAGTGTCGAAAAATTTAAAAAGTTCATGATTGTCCCACTATCTGTCCCTTTTTTGTTTATTTACTTAATTGATGCCTACCATTTTCAAAAATAAATTTAATTAGAAGTGTGTTTTGGTCATATAGTTAATAGAATTCGATGAATTTGCTCTTCAACAGAACCTGCTGTCATTTCGGAAGACACAGTATCCTAGCACAACTTGCATCATTAAAATTCCAAAAGAAATTCTGTCCGGTGTAAAATGTATTTCAAGTGTTTCCCACTATCAGTAAACTTTTACAGTGAGCTTATTTTAAGCTGAAATCAAGAATTAAACACTACACCAATTTATTATTTGTCATTCAACGGTGAATATATTTCTCTCAAGGGAACAAATACAACCTACATATGTGTGTATATCGCTTCATCCGTTTTTACAAAGAAACATTGACGAATCATATAGAAATAGGTTGTACGATGTAAGTTTGAAAGTAGGTAACATGCTGACTTTCATTTATCGTGCAGACATCCGAATCTCTTGGAAGATGTAAGGAAACAGCTAATTTGACCTGCATTAGTAATACTGTGGTAAAAATGAGATTATATTTGAATGACTGATGTTTTCACTCAGCTTTTATTTATATTTTTAGACTAGAATAAATGTATTCCCTGATTTATCCTTTTTCAAAATGATTCCTATCCACCCATTATCTTACGTACTAATTACTTACAAACATTAGACCATATTTATGTATTTAATCCAGTGAAGCACTATATTACATCTTGCATAATACTATCGCTTGCATTGGTGACCACCTACTATGAAACAGAAGTATGCAAATCCCGTTGATACTCCTTAATATTGATTACAAATATGAATTTCATAGATGAAGGCTTAGATATTACCAAGGTGTAGCAAAAAGCACTACTAGTTTGATCCTAACATTTCCGGGCAAAAATGGACCATAAAGCCAGTATTAAAGAATCCTATTCTATTTTTCATCGTATTTCTAATAGACTGCCAATACGTTAAACAGCAGAATTCATAGCACTTCGCTCTAAACGTTTTAAATAAACGAAACAAGTTCAGTTAATATTGCTGCCCTGTCCCTCTAATGGAATTGATAAATTCGTAAATATTATGTTACTTCATATCTTTTAAGTATGACCTTTCGCCCTATAAACAAACCTTGTTCCCTTATTTATTACTTCTAGCAATCAAGGTTATCTGATTCATTCACCCTCGTTTATTTGAACAGTTTTATATTTTCGTAATCTATCTTTGGTTATTCACTTATGCAGTGGTATACACAAGAACTTTCATCCTGTTTTCTCTCTAATATTTTGATGTTACCGTCGAATAATGTGAAGTTTATGACTAGATCCCATTATATTCAAACTGAACATTAATCATATGGATTCACCACTATATGTTCAGCGTTCTCTGTCATCACTGACTCTGATATCTGATTTCAAACTTCTGTGTTATATTCAAGAGTTGGTTTGTAAGGATTAGATTTATTTTTACGAGTTGATCACGGATTGATATCAGTTAGAGAACCATTGAATACCAAGGAGTACTAGACAGCTGTTTCATTTTAGTTTGGGAATCATCGGCAGTACGCACCCACCCACCAACAGGGTTCGAACCCAGGACCATCCGGTTACAAGGCAAGCTCGTATGCCATTCAGCCACTGGGACCTCATTTGATGGTCATGGCATGAATTCTAACTTCTACCAATTCGTGATTTAGCGCAACCACCAAACAATGTCATCAGCGGGAAATGCATCCTCACTGCTTCCATTTTATTAAAAATAGCAATTATTGCCTAACTTGCATAAATATGTCACTATGAATCCTGAAAAGGAAGTTATTGGAAAGAATATTCTTTGTTCACTAATCAGTCTTTCGAAATTTATAATGAATATTTTTTAAGTAATATTTATGTTTTAAATAATGGAAATTACGAAAACAAATGAGTCATTAGACACTGGATTTTATAGGAAATTTAACAGTTTAAAAACTGTCAGTCTGTAAACATCAACTTGCATAACATTTTGTTTTAAACTTGAAATAATAATATTGGTGACTGTTGTCGCATATTTTTTTACCTTTCCCCCAGGTGACTGAATTTTATACGATCGTTGTACACATAGAAATGTGGCTTTGTTACTGTATTCCTTTTTTCAAGTACTTTTTTCAGCCATAATTAAATAGCAAGCTGGTGTTGCGATAACAGTGATTATATATATATATATATACTTTTCATCAAAATACTGTCTAGATAAGTGCTTAATTCTCGAAGAGTCTTTGTCATATTTTCTTCAATAAGTTAACTAAATATTGGTCACTATGATTCCATTTATAGGACGCCTATACGTCGATAAGTGTTAGACACATACACAGTGGAATAGCAGTTATAAGTTGAAGTGGGAGTTGTCTATTTTGTAAACCTGTGAATATCTATTTTTTGACATTAATATTGTGTCTAAAAGTAATTGTTTAACACATTAGTTTTGAAAAAAGTGACACCCTGACCAAAGATGGAAATTCAATCTTTTGTTCATTATCTGTGATGGCAAGTTATTTTAAATATTTGTACATACGATGGTGATAAAATTAATTACCTGTAGTGACATTAGACTTTTTCAATCGATTTGAAAAATCATGTTTATGAAACAAAGTGATTAACAGTTTTGGTCGACTAATTTTATCAGGATAAAGTAAAATCCTTGTTAGGAAATAACTTTGTGTTATTATGATCACTTTTAGATAACTTTCAAGTGTCAAATTGCGGCAATCTGATTGGCTGCAGGTTTGATCACGAACTGGTATCAGTTAGAGAACCCCTGAAGTACTGAACAGCTGCTTCATCCTAGTCGGTTGCGCTTTATTTTGCAAATCGGAATTCATAGGCCATTAGATTGGATACCAGTGGCTGAATGCTCTACGATTTCGTCTTGTAAGTTCAACGTCTGGTGTTCGAGCCTTGGTGAATGTGTACTGTTGAAGGAGGGAACAACTGTCCAGTACTCTCTGGTTTTCCTGTGGTTCTCTAAAATTATATCAGCTTGTGACTAAGCCTGTAACTATGAGATAAATAAGTGCAGAAAGCATCCAAAGAAAGTTCACTGTTATATCTTTAGTCTCATGAAGTAAAAGGAAAAGTTGCTACAGTAACAATGACCTGACAAAATCACATCAAGGTGTTAATTTGCTATAATCTCTAGTCAAAACTCTATTTCTCCTAGAAAATATCAGATCTTTTTTGATTCACACATTTATAACTCATCATGAAAACTTTGTATGGGTGAAATTACTTTTCAGAAATAAAATTTCAAATTTTAATAAAATAAGTATTAAGGCCAGAATTAAATAGTGTATTTTGAAGACTATACGGAAGATTAAGTTATATATGATTTTATGACACTCATATTACGAAATATCAGGAACTATGGACTCTATCCTATGCCTATGGAAATTCACAATCTAAAAGATACCTTTCGGAGGTACTGCAGCTGTCTTCGTTCATTGATTAAACGTCAACGAATATCATTCAACTCAGCATCAAAAGTACTATATATTAATAGAACTTCATAACTAACGTACTGACAGTATTTCACTGTTACGGGGTATGTTCATAAGTCTGGGATTTATGTTATCTCAGTATGTAAACAAACACTGGATAATAAAACATACTATAAAGATAAGCAATACCAAATTGTATTTCGAAAGGCTTTTGAATAACCTGTGCTAATGATACTGTAGAAGAAAATAGTGAAAAGCTCTAAAAATCCATCAACCAACAGGAAGTCAGTGATACCATGAAAATAACCGAATTCTAAATGTCTACCGAGACTAACCTTCATCAGATATATGAAAATGCCTGAAAGACGCAAAATTACGTCGAATATCTCCAGCATTTAGCCAGCTATCTACAATGGTTTTCTTTTGATTTAAAAGAGTGTGAGGTTCATACTTGTAAAGGATAAATACTCCTAACGTCTTAGTGATTCAACAAAACCTTCTTCTGACTAGCTGATCATGGATTGATATCAGCTAGAGAACCGTTGAAAACCACGGAGTACTGGACAGCTATTTTACCCTAGTTTGGGAGTCATCGACAGTACGCAACCCCTAGGGTTCGAACCCAGGAACCTCCGGTGGGTGCGTACTACCGATAACTCCCAAACTAGGGTAAAACAGCTGTCCAGTACTCCATTGTTTTCAATGGTTCTCTAACTGATATCAATCTGTGGTCAAATTCGAAAAACAACTCTTATCCTTACAAACCAATTATTGAAAAGAAAACCTTCGCAAATAAAGTCCCTACCATAATAATAAAACCTTTGTGATGTAATGGTGATAATAATAGTAATAAGTTACTTAAACAAATCTTAATTAAAAAATTGTTTCATATTGAAGAAAAACCTTCCATTTAAAAATTAACAGGAAATTTACCTGTACTATTTTGTGGTGTATTTGTTGAAGAAAAAAGATTTTGTTTATACGCCACTGGTTCTGTTTTATCCAACTCGTAAGTTTTACGACGAAGTTTTGGTGTGAAAAAATTTCGAAATGTTCTAATTGTTGGACTTTTATTTGCTACATTAGTGGGGGATTTTTCATTTGGAATAATTAAATTTGATTCATGCTTTAAATGTGTTGGTGATTGGCCACTTATTTCTCTGTTAACAGGAATATTAGATGTATAGTAGGGCATGTTTGTATGATTCGGTGTTTGTTGAATTGGTTGTAGGAGTATAGCACCTCTAAAATATGAAAAAAAGATTATATATACGTATATACATACAAGCTTTAAAATGCTCAGAAAACTGATGAGTTCATTTACAAATGTGTTATGATGCAAATAAGAGGTTATATCTACTATTGTTAGTCAATTTGTGTATACTCTGTACTATTAAAGGTACCATATCTTAGGTATTTACAGCAGCCTGCTTGAGTCACTATGGCTGCTTAAGTTTCCATCCAGTATACTGCATAAAGTTTTCTCCATTTTCTGCTGTTTTAATCATCTACTTGTGTTTTTCGATCGCTACAGGAACTCGCGCGCAATTTCGATTTGCTGTAATCTACAGCATCACTCGAAGGAAATGAGGGAAATTTCATACACTTGGTTCCCTTGATAAATTTCGATAAAAAAGACTAAATGTCAGCAAATTTGCTGCCTTTTGTATGTTTAATATTTTAAAGGATTTAAAAGTTTCGTCAAAATGATCTGTATCCACTAGGTGTCTATTTCACTTTGCAAGTATCTGCTTCACTTTAGACCCAAGTTACTTGGGATATGCTCATAATACCGGATAGAAGCCCTTCTTTCTGTCCTTCTGAAGTACTTGCTCCCGCAAGTGCACTTAAATTTATAAAAGCAGTTGGAGGTGACATCAACAGGGTATTTATCCAGTTTTGATTGACTTATAGAGCATGTGGTGTTGTTTAGTGTTACAAGCTTATCTGCAGGGAGGCATCTTGTTTTCTCCTTTCATTCTGTTGTCGTTCTGTTGTGATACTGCTTCTCCTTTGAATGAGAAACAAATGGACACTTTCTTCTTTCCAACAGTTGAATGATTCGTTTTCTCGTGTTTTTCTTTGCTATAATTTAGGAAAAATCCTTTCGGTAACTCATTTTCCCTTAGACATTTATGAATAAAGCACAATTATGCTTCCATGTTGTTAGGTTAACATAGCTTTCTCACTATGTCGTATAGTGTTCCCACTAATCCACGCTTATGGCATATTGAACAGAAGCCATTACAGTGAAGATACTGTGAAGCAGATTGATATAATTTTATACCGAAAATTTAGTCCTTCTTTCCTTATTGAAATTAGGGTTAAACGTAGTAGAAAATTGAAAGCTGCTTAAGACAGAACAACACAAGGTCATGTGGTATACAACCGAATACTATTTTACTTGAATACGCTATACATACAGTAGGTACTTAGCAATCTAAATACGATGAAAATTCTGTACTATATGGTAACATATTGTTTTGAATGAAGTTATTGTTATTGTAAACATATTTGTTGATAAAAAGTAATGAAGCGATATGAAATTGGTCTGTTTCATAAACAGCAATGATAACAGAGTGAAGTACATAAGAATTAATAAAAACAACATATAGATGGGGTTAATTATAGTATTACAAACATCCAGTATATTGGAGCCAGGTTTGAGGGAATCTGATTCATTTTTGTTATATGAGAATACTGTAAAATGTATGTATATATATCCTGATTATGAAGTTCATTTAATCATTTATTAGTGTAAAGATAAACTGGATATGCACTAGACAAGTTTGTGCCAACAGTCGGTGTACAGCTTGAATTAATTTAACTCAGCTTTGGTAGCATATGTAAATAAAGATTCTGAAGTACGTATATTATCGTTAGAAAGAAATAATTATTATTCTCTTAGGTTCTGAGTGAAACATGGGGCTCCAACAACTAATCTACACTTCATCTTGTTCTTTGTAGTCATCTTCAGCTGGCCTAAAAGTTTTCATCTGCTTCCCAAAAAATCTCCTTTATGTCAACTTTGGATGTCTATTTTAACATTTCCGATTGGGTGGGGGATTTCATTATCAGCTGACATCTGTTATAGAACCACTGGGAAATCTGGGAGTACTGGACAGCTGTTTCGTTCTAGTTTACGACTCTTCAACAGTACGCACCCACTAAGGTTCGAATCCAGAACCTTCTGGTCACCAGGTGACCTCTTAGATCATTGAGCCACTGGGAGCCGATCCAGTGGCCCATTAATCCTCCATTCAATCAAACAAAATTCCTAAAAAGCCAATACTTCAAAATTAATCTGATGCTTACTAGCGACTGGCCCTATTTAGGCAGTTAACCTGGGGTTCCAGTGGGAAGCCGAGACCAGTCGGGTACAGCAGGTTGAAGGTGGGGCAGTAACTCATCGAAGAGGACACTTCGAAATGGTCGCCCTATGTTGTGAATTGGCAGAAGTTAGAATTCATGGGTCGTTGGGTCAGGTACCAGTGGCTCAATGGTCTACGAGCTCGCCTGGTAACCAGAAGGTCCTGGATTCGAAACTTGGTGGGTGTGTACTGTTGAAGATACGCAAGCTAGAACGAAACAGCTGTCCAGAACTCCCAGGTTTTCCAGTGGTTCTCTAACAGATGTCGGCTCATGATGAAATCCCCCATCAAATCAAACAAAATCCTCACAGAACCAATAATTCAAAATTTCCGATTGGGTCTAGCGAATCATGTCACTCAACCGTCTCCTCAGCGTGTGTCCTAAACATCTTCACTTTTGTCGGGGTATTTGTTGATCAGTAGTTTCTTGGTTGATTCGTTCCTAGAGTTTCTTGTTGCTTATCCTACCTGGCCATCTGATTTTTGCAGCGATGCTGCCTAGATAAGTGAAAGAGGTGATTTCCATTACATTTTTCCGTTGATGATGATTGATGTTTGTTGTTAGTGGTTAGGTATCTTCTCTATGTTCAGAGAGATATAACTGATCCTAAAAATGACTTAAGTTTTATGATTCTACTGCAGCAAGTGAAGCTTATTATTACTGTTTACTGTCGAATCCAAAACCTTTAACATTTCTAATGAATAATTCACAAATAAGAAATGATTTTTGACGCTGTATAAGCCAACATTTTCATTATCTACCTATTAAGTTTCTCAGTTATCTTTGTTTTTAAGATTAAAGCATTGCAGAATAAAATTATTACATCAAATGGGAAAATAGAGCAAAATCCTCTAACTAGTTATCCTTGCATTCAGATCGAAAGAGACGGTATCGTGAAAGCTGACTAAATGAAAAGGCATAGGAGTATTCTTTGTTTTATTTAACTATGGCAGGCAATAATCTTGAATAGCTGTCTGTTTACCACACATGATATTGGCTCAGAAAGACGAGAAAAGTCCATAGTTTAATGATAGAACACTCGCCAGCCATGCGCAATTACCGACTGGTCTCCTTTTATAAAGCTTCTCAAGTTTACTTGCCAGTAGTCAGTCCACAGAAAAAGAGAGAAGGCTGGACATGAGCCCAGCAACCCTACTACAAAGAAAAAACGCCACTAATTGAACTACGAGGCTTGGAACCGTACACTAGATTAGTAAAGCAACGGATGAAAAGAGATATCTGTTTGAAGGAAAACCAAAGATGGGCTTTGACAAAATACTTAAGAGTGTTTGGCAGACTTGTTCAGACAGAATGTAGGAGTGTATTCAAAAGGACACAGTGGAAAACAACGAAATCTTTATTTGGGATTATAGAACATATTTCAAAGTTAGCCGAAGAAAGACTTTAGTGGACTCAGCCAGGCTTACCTTCACTAGCGTGTAGTGTGGTGACTGAAATCTAGCATATTCATGTCAACGGGCGTATATAAATACAGAAGGTGAAACAGCTTTTTACAGTAAGAGAAGAAGACTATAAATCATACAGTCTGTTCAGACAGGTGTCAGCTATGTTGTAGATATTAGCTGACTAGTTTCAACATAGAACTTTGCACAGATATGCAGTAGTTTGAGATGAGAACACGGAGAGATTCGAAAGAGAGATAATAACCAGAGACATGAGGCAAAAAGAATAGTAATATGGAAGAACAATGTAGTTTTATTGGATATTATAAGTCACAAGTAGTGGATGCATTTGCACCATTGAGAACGATTTTGAGCCATATCACCAATTGTCTACAGCCGTCGGTTTTTACCATCCCGAGGACCCCAACCAGTCTGGAAGTTTACATCCCCCTACATGGCTTAAACTAACTGTTGTGGATTTCATTGACTGATGAAGATATGCTTTGGTTTGACCACCACTAACTAACTCTTTTCCAACTTGATCCTGTGTCAGTCAGGAAAAATCGCCCGTCCGTTGAGGAAGGCGATGGCGACGCATATATAATACATATCCTAACCATCTCAATCGGTGTAACTTCACAATCTCGTCGATTGATTTCCCCACATTACCTAGCACTCGACCGTTGCCTAACCTCAATATTATTCACCTTATTATACCATTTAACACGGGAAATAGAATGCAGACACATATGATCAGAGACATGTAGCCTTTTCATGTCGTTCACTTTCAGTGACCGTGTCTCACAGCCATAAAGGAGGACAGAGCGATCTGTTGAGCAGTGCATACGCCCTTTGGTTGACAGCCAGACCGATATCACGTCTACGGCAGAGATGGCGTTAGTTGGCATATGCGAAACGAGCTTCCTGTATCCATGCTAAAATTTCGTCAGCGATCAACCCGCTGCCGTTGGCTAAAGCAACTTCTCAAATAAGTGAAGTGGTCAACACGCTCTGTCACTAAACTCCCTATCTTTAAGCTGCGAATCAGTCGATGTATTCCAGTCCTGTAGCCTCATCATCTAGCATTTCCTGGGAGCAAATCACATGCCAAATATTTGGAGATTTCTGCTCAAGGCGTTCAGAAGACTCTGTATTTTGTCAGCGTCTTCACTCAGAAGGGAGGATCACATCAACCGCATATTCTAAGTCAACGAGATTAGGCTCTGGTAACAAGTCAGTCTTTGATTCCTTGAAGTAGATATTGATGAAAGTGCAAGAATTCGGGCTTACAAAATGAATTGTGCGGGAAACACACGTCCAAATTTTATCGATTCACTGTGATTTTCTACTTATTTAAAACTCAAATAGCCATATGCATCATTGATCTGTTTTTTTCTGTTTGATTTCTATTTCAAACTGTTTCTTTTCTTTTTTCTTTTGCTATTTTTAAAATCTTGTATTTATTTTGAAGTTTTTTTAATTAAATTTCCATCATGAACACATTTTGTCGTGACTTATAAACTCTAATCAGTCTTTCTGCTGATATTTTACAAAACGTTGTGTAAGAATTAGCTCAATGTTACAGAAATCTTTCAATTTCTAAAATTCAACTGTCTATTCAGTATATGCATGCGCATTAAAAGTGAAGTATTTTTTTTAAAGTATAGCCAGATGTAACTCTGAAGAAGGTTTCTTTTTTACCGTGAATTCTCTGTCTTCGCATTATCGTTGCCTGTTAATGGAACTTCATCAAGTATACCTTTTTTATAAAAATGCACATGAATACGTAAATGCATACAAATGTGCATAAGACTATAGTTTAAGAGCAAACACTTAAAAGTTCCTTCCTCAGTAGATTAGAATTTAATATTTTGATAAATATAATACCAAAAGCCATCACATTCTGGTGTCGTAGTGTTTTCGGCATATTTCGGTCTTATATTTTTGGGTGCATTACAATTAGTTGCTTTTGAAGTTCAACAAATTTCATTGTTGATTTTTAAAATATGCCTCATCTGCTAAACTAAAGGCGATTCGAAAGCCGTTTGTCTACAACTCAGAGTTTCTTTCAGCTACTTTCATTACCCTTTTTCATTTTTCAAAAATTGGCCCTCATTTCAATAGAAGGAAAATAACAACAACAAGGCGTACGAACATTATCTGCATAATATTCGCTAAGATATTCAAACCGCTCACTGTTTTCACGATATCTTCGTGAAGAAGAAAGCTGCGTAACAAAAATCACATATGTACGACTGCAATTCGCTAGCCTGGCGGCGTAACATGGTCATCCTTTCGTTGTTGTCACGAAGGATAATTCAGAGCTGAAATTTGAATGAGTCTTAAGTGGCTGAACTCTTAACACTACTACACTAGCTGCCCGGCCTTGTTCTAGTTGTCAGTATGACCTCATATCAGTAAGTAGATAGCCAAGCAGATAATCCAGAGGTCACTGGCTTACAAATTTTGTTTCCAAATATATGTACAGTGATACGTGTACCTAACTAAAATCCCTCATGTTTCACTGTGTATCTATAAGATATTGAGATTCAGATTTGTAAAATAACACCATGAATAATAAATAATGTACGTGTACTTACCCAGAATTTACTCTTTGTCTTGTTGTTGAAACATGCGGAATAGGTGCTTTTAACCTTATTTGTTGATATTGTGGATTGAACTGTGGTGAACCATCTAAGTGAGCGTTGTTTCGCTGATTTAGGTAATCATTTGCGACCATGTTGGGATGGATGACAACCTTTGCTGGCACAGAATAATTCGGCTGTTGGTAATTCTGTTGATAAAGAATTAATTGGAATGTGATCAGAATAACGAAAACTACACTGACATATTAATGACCGCCTAATACAACCTATAAAAAATGTACTCTGTGAATTGTATTCATAGTCTGAAGTTATTTACTTATTCCGTAATTTTACAGAGATTTTGCAACATATTTCACTTTGAGACCGCATATCTACCTTTACGCTGATTTCAGTTGGAGAACACTTTGATTTTAAGAGGCTAGTGCAAAATAGTTCATTAGTAAGATGAGAATTTTTGTGAGTGATATTACCCACTACAATACCGATGATAATGGATTTAAAACCTGCTGACCGGCGCAGAATATTTGCAGCTCAAAAATGAATGTTCCCACAAGAATTAACCTTAATGTTTGATACCACCTTCAGTCTTTTTGGTTAAAATTTATGTCCGTTGAAGATTGTCGCGATTAGTGGATTCCAAGTGGCCACCTACCTAATTCAGTAGAGTATTAGAACTTTCATCCATCAAAATGTTTAAACTGTTCTGCATTTCTTATTGTTTAAACCACTCATTTATATCAGATAACTACTACATGAAGTTGTGCGTATATTTAGCTAGCTTGCAACTAAAGACTGCAATTCTTGAAGAAAATGAGGAGTAAACTTAAAGAATTGGTTCCCTCTCCATATGTAACAACACTGAGTCACATGATATACTTCCGTTTATTACTTTGCACATAACTCCCATATGAAGTGGAAGTATTTTGGAAGTGAATACGCTGAAAATTTATGTACTATGTGTTCTTAAATTGTCTGAAATAAAGCTTTATTATGATAGAGAAGATTTGTAGCTCAGGTGGATCATTTTGATGTGGTTGTGTTCTCTGAGCTGGATAGTTAATTTGCGAAGCTTTCATCACCCTACTGGGTGACATCTTCAGCGCATACTTCAATTTGAAGTGAGCTTATAGATTTCCCCACGAGTTTATTAATCATCTCTCCTGGCGACCTTGGACGTGATTGGTTGTTTTTGTGTGTTTTCACACCCTCTAGGTTACTTGTATTGTCACTCATTGTTTCTTTGACTTGAACTTTGACCCTTCGTGTGATGAAAGCTTCGCAAATTAACTATCCAGCTCACACAAAGGGTCAAAGTTCAAGTCAAAGAAACAATGAGTGACAATACAAGTAACCTAGAGGGTGTGAAAACACACAAAAACAACCAATCACGTCCAAGGTCGCCAGGAGAGATGATTAATAAACTCGTGGGGAAATCTATAAGCTCACTTCAAATTGAAGTATGCGCTGAAGATGTCACCCAGTAGGGTGATGAAAGCTTCGCAAATTAACTATCCAGCTCAGAGAACACAACCACATCAAAATAAAGCTTTATTATTATTATCATCATCATTATTCTGACGCTAGCGAAGAAATATGCTCTGATTGTAAACCATATACACATTTCATAACTGTTCTGGATTATAAGTAGTTTTAACTGATCTAAACAAGAAAAAATGTAGGTATCAATTTCATTGGCATTTATTGAAGGGAACTTTGAAATCCTGTTCAAGTCAGGATCCTGACCAACAGATTCTAAATCAGTAGCCCAGACCTCTACCAGCTGAGATATTAGACTTAAGTGCTAGCCAGCTAATAACTGCACTGTAACCGTTACGGTTAGACATAGCTATCATACGAGTTAATAATGCATAACTGCCCTGTTGTCACCTCTACAGATGCTCAGGCCAGTCTTATCCCGGCAATTTTAATCATACTCAATTAGAAGATGGGGAAAAGGCTGTTGATGGATGCTGAGACTGTTATTACATATAACATGATTAGTAGTCTACCGCTCAAAGTCTATCCTAGATAGTTTCACCGATGAATGTTAATTTCTTAAATTCCATTTAAGAATAACTAGACATTATGCAACAGATAGTTTATGTCTGTTTTTATTATTACAGACATTTTCGCAAAAATGATTGACAATTATATTACAGAAAGTAATTTTGTAGAAAATGACAAACGTCGTTCTTTATTTTTTTGAATGTATTTGACTTGACATATATGTATAAGTATTGCACGTCACTTGAATTCAGTGCACTATAAGTTATTTTTAGCTTTCTGTTTCACTTTTTTCTATTTGCAATTCACTTTGCAATGGGTTTTCAGCGTTTTAAGACAAACTAACATTTCGGTCTGTTATCTAATACCATCGAAGCATATTAATTAAGTCTGCAATAAACAAGGAAATAAACATTTTCGTATAGTTAATTTATAATGATAAAAAAATTGTTTATGTTGTTGAAAAAACCACAAGAAAATGATTAATTCTTGTGAGAAAATATTCGCGCAAAGATACACTTTAAAAGTGCAGACTCTATCGGATAGTTCATCGCAGCTATTGCTTCAATCTTAGTTGGCATTGAATAGTTCATGAAAATCAGTGCTATATACTGTGAATTAAGCTTCCGTTATTTGTTTACTGTTCTGCTAACTAGGTACTGAACCCAAAATTCCTTAGCAAGTTATTGTAGCAGAACTATTATTACTAACCAAAGGTAGTATTATGAAGTATTTTTATGGTAGGTATTAAAGAGTATTACTGGTACAGTGTATTATAAGGTCAGTGTGCTAGGTCTCGTGACCTGAAGGTCACTGGTTTTACTCCCCGTGGGTTCGTGGAAGGGTACTACCGAAGAGTTCCAAATTAGAATGAAGCAACTGTCCAGTACTCCTTGGTTTTCAGTGGTTATTTAACTGACGTCAATTCTTGATCAGACTTGGAACAATTCTACATTGGTTCAGCTATTAGGCAGGTTATATGCTACGTAGCAAACGTGTCTACTGAAAAGCACAGCATAGAATTTATTAAAATTTAAATTTAGTAGTAGTCTAAAGCCTACTAAATGACTAAGACACTACATGTTAAATAGATTTAACAGTACAAAAGTGAAGCGGCAAGTTTAACCACTGGACTTTATTCAGAAGACAAGATGAGATTTAGTAACCGGCATTAACATAACTGTTGCAACAATTTTATATATTCATTACTGTTCGAGTAATTTAATCGTGAACATTTCCACTGAACCTGTAAATGTTATTAAAAAAGGCTAGATCTGATACCTAGAGCAGTTGGACAAACTACAAATGACTTGCAAGTTTTATTCCCCAGTAAATCGAAAATACGTGCGTCGGTGGCACAGCGGTTAGAACGCTCGCCGACCATGCACATGGTCCGGGGCTCGTTCCCCCGCCGACGCACTCCTTCACCTCGCTAAGCCAGAACTAAAGGTGGTGAAGAGGAAAGGTTGGGAATGAGGCTGGTAAAAATAAACACTGCTACAGAAACTTCAGGCCTCTAGCTTGAAGCCCTATGCTCCACTGGGAACTTGAAGGAATAAAAAAATCGCAAATGCAGACAGAATTTTTGAATATAACTCTTTTATACTTGTGATTTCCAGAAAATATAAGTGGCCTGAATTGATCAACCTTATTTTAGCATGCAGGTTTCTTGAATGTGTGTCTTGATATCCATGCTTTCCAGCTGGCAGTTTCCCATTTGTTGGCGGCTGGTGATGGAGGTCAGAACTCGCATCTCACTCTATTGGAGGCTCATCAGCTGGAAGCATTTGCATCCCACTAAATTCAACTTTAATAAGATCATCAAATTACAGATGAATTGGAAATCTTCGATATCGAACTTGATTTTTATTAAGTAAAGCAAAGTGTTGTTGCATTGTTAAATAACTGAAGACATAGGAAACATGTGCGTATAGATACATTTAAATAACTGTAGTTTTAATTACTGTTTTGTACTTGTGCGTAGATTTTACTCCATATGTGTTGATAAAGATTGATTTGCATGGTTTGTTTAAAATCATATCAAAATGTGTTTTCTATCACCAGTCTTATACAAACAACTTTAACTCGATTTTATTTGAAATGAATTTTTTAAGCGAACAGTTATTATGAATTTCAGTAAAACCAAATCTTGTGTTAAATAAAGTATCATACGCAGTTATAGCTGAAGCGTAACCTAGTTATTAGACCTTTGGTTTCACACGTAATCGCATAAAGATTTATTTTAAAATCCATTTAGAAATACACATGTGATAACTCTGCCTCTTTTCAACTACTTGACAAGGCAAGATGGTCCTTAGAGGTGAGCTTCGTTCTTATTATCATAAGCAAATCTTGATATCGTCAAATACTGACTTATCGTTACGAAAAGTTAAGTGAATAATCTTTGCTTACACTTCCGCTGGTGGAATATAAAAACCATGTAATAAATACGTAAGTTTAGGTTTTATAATCTTCTTCGAGGCATTAGTGAAAAGAACAAAACGTATCGTCCAGTGAATAGGCTTTTCATTTTCTCTAGCCAGACAATCGCATAGATATGATGGAGACTAGTGGCTCAGGTGGATGATTTTGATGTAGTTGTGTTCTCTAAGCTGGATAGTTTATTTGCGAAGCTTTCATTGGCCTACTAGGCAACATTCTAGCGCATGCTTCAATTTGATGAAGTGAGCTTTTAGATTTCTCCGTCAGTTTATTAGTCATCTCGACTGGTGGGTGACCTTGAACGTGATTGGTTGTTTTCATGTGTTTTCACACTCTCTGGGCTACTTGTATTTGTATTGGTGTTGATTGTTTCCTTGACCTGAAAGTTTGACTCTTTGTGTATAGATATTCTTCTTTTCGACTGATAAATGTTTGTCTATGTCAATGTGTCAATTCACTGGAATACCAGGCTTCTAAAATTCATTAACATTCTTGGTGTTTCCTCAGTCTAATATTTGAACTTTGTCCCAGTCGAACTGGTGTCCGTGGTTGTCTGTATGCAGTGATATGAGGGAGTGGATGTCATGTCTTTTGACGGCTAGTTTATGTTCATGAATAAGAAGACGAAGGAGACGTCCACTTTGGCAAATATCGGGTTTTTCGTAATCGTTGTGGAGTTGAATTAGTGTGGTACAGTTTTATAGTAAGGTAAATAATTTGATGAATGATGTGTAATCAAGAT